ACATACATACATATATATATATATATACATATATATATATATATATAATATAATATATATGCATATATACATACATATATATATATATATATATAATATATATGCATATATAATACATATATATAAGCAAATATACATACATATATATATTATATATATATATATATATATATATATATAATATATTATATATATGCATATATACATACATAACATATGCATATACATATAATATGATATACATACATACATATATATATGTATATACACATATATACAACACACATACATACATATATATATATAATAATATAATATATATATATATATATATATGTGTATGTTGTGTTGTGGTGTGTGTGTGTGTGTGTGTGTGTGGTGTGTGTCTGTTGTCTGTTCATATATATATATATATATATATATATATATAATATATATATATATAATTATGTGTGTGTGTGTGTGTGTGTGTGTGTGTGGGTGTGTGTGTGTGTGTGTGTGTGTGTGTGTGTGTGTGTGTGTGTGTGTGTGTGTGTGTGTGTGTGTGTGTGTGTGTGTGTGTGTGTGTGTGTGTGTGTGTGTGTGTGTGTGTGTGTGTGTAATTATGTATATTATATATATATATATATATATATATATATATATATATATATATATATATATAATATATATATATATGCGTGCGTGCGTATATATAAGAGAAAAGAGCGAAAAGAAAAGAAAAAAAAGAAAGAAAAAAGAGAGAAAGTAAAAAAATAAGAATCCACCCATAGGGGAACAAAAAACAAAGCATTAGGACAATAAAAAAATGCATAACAAATAAAAGACAAAGAAAATAAAAAAACACAACAACAAAAACACAACCCGACAGTAGAAAAACGAAAAACAAAAAACACACACACACACAATATTCCAAAGTCGACCTCCATTAGGTACACCAACGACACAAGGCGACATGCATTTAACATGACACACTGTGCCCTCGTAGTACATCAGTGTGGGGAACAAGCAATGACACAAGTACGGTCAAACAAACACACCGCTGATGATTACGTAATCACGTTGGCACTGCTGGGCACCGGCGATAGAATCATGAAATCAAACTAGAATAAAAAGGAAAGTAGTTGAATATTCCCAATGGCCTGATCTCTCTCTCTCTCTCTCTCTCTCTCTCTCTCTCTCTCTCTCTCTCTCTCTCTCTCTCTCTCTCTCTCTCTCTCTCTCTCTCTCTCTCTCTCTCTCTCTCTCTCTCTCTCTCTCTCTCTCTCTCTCTCTCTCTCTCTCTCTCTCTCTCTCTCTCTCTCTCTCTCTCTCTCTCTCTCTCTCTCTCTCTCATCACGTACAGTCGATCCATACATGGCGGGTTACGTCTATTTTTTAACAATAGGAAAAAAAACAATAAAATACCGAATAAAAAAAAAAAAAAGGGAAAGAGAAAAAACATGCTTACCATGGTTTCAAATAAAAACGAACTAAAATGGGAAACGCGGAAAGAAACGGCTACTAGCATTAAAGCTACACGAATCACAGGGGAATACATTAAATCCCAAACTGAAAGGAAATTCAATAATATCTTGGAACAAAACGGGGAAATATTTGAAATGAGACCAAACAGAACAACGAATATATACGTTACACATAATAGGCGACCAAAGGAAATAACGGGGATAAAGGTGGTTTTGCACGAGAAATTATGTTTATAATATATATTGAAAAAAAAGAGTCATTGTCATTGCACATCTGCAAGGCGGAAACTACTATCTATATGAAGATGTATCAATAACAATTCTAACAGTAATCATAGTGATAATGATGCAGGGAACAACCGCAATGATACTGATAATGCGAACTATAACGATAATGAGAATAATAATGATGCTAATCATGTTAGTACTACTAGCAACAATAACAGTGATAATAATGATAATGGCAATGGTAAAAAGGTAGATGACTGATGATAACTATGGCTATCATGAAAACTGTTATGATAACAGTGATGATGATAACAGCAATATTGCTACTGCTGCTGTTGCTACTGATGATGATAAGGATCATTAATGATGACAATAGTGATGATGAATAATGATGATAGCGATGATGATGATAACACTGCTCTCCGTTCCAACATTGAGAGCATGCAATGCTAATGAAAACTAATGTTTGCAAAGTCAACATAAGAGCAAAAACAACAATAACATCAGCATTTACAATAATAATATCTATAACGAAAATCAATATTCCAATCCATAACAACATTATAATTATTTTGGTAGTATTCAATTACCATTGCAATTACAATAAAGTGCGACCGTCATGCCACACCGGCTGTTCGACCCGAACCATAGCCGCAATGGTGCAGACACAGACGCGCAGACACATACAAACAATCATACACACATATTGACACTCAGGTTCACACATATTGACACCGACACAGGGACAAACATACATGTGCACACAAGCATTCACTGACAAACAGCACACATACAGGCAGACACACAGACACAGACACGCTGACACCTCCCACCCACAAGCACACCCAAAGAAAAAAAAATAAAAGTGACGCAATAACGCCAGGGTGATGATGACTCTGCCATTACATAGAGTAAATAACGCCCCCCCCTCCCGATATTACTAGCAACAGCCACAGCACATAGCAGCCTCCCACAGCAGCACCCCTTCCCCCCTTCCCCCCGCCACAGCAAGCGACTTCCAAATTAGAACGGCAAAGTACGAGCCATTCATGCGGTTATGATGTCGCCGCCATGTGGTCGCCGAGACGCCCTCTGACGGCAGCAAAGACAACTGTAATAATACGTTCTAGATTTATCGGTTTAATGAAGTCTCGCTTTTTGAAGGGGGAGTCTGTTGCTCTCGAGGAAAGGGCGATGGGCCGCTCAAGGAGGACTATTCTTAATGATGTCTGAAGATGATGTAATACGCTATGATGAATCAACTGTTTTTCGCGCCTTTTAATTATGGAGAATCTTCCTTCTTTTAGGGAGGGGGTGAACTTGCGAATATATATATTAAAGAAAACAAATACTTTTTTATCTTAAAAATCAATAAAAACGGCCGCAGATCTTCGCATATTAGAAAAAAATAATCGCACAATAAATGTCATGCTTTTTTCCTTCAATAACATTTTCCATTACCTCTCCCACACTAGGAAGTGTTGACACAGGAGCAAAATCATAATGTTACGAAGCAATAAGCTGAACAATAATGGCCTGTTTCCGCATGAGGTACAAAAGGTGGATTGCGTCACGATCTTTCGACAGGTGTTTAACTCTATTGTATTGTTCGGCTCATTCACTGTATACAGTGTAATGTAAACACAGACACACACGCACACACGTACACACACACGCAAACATATAAAAACACAAAAACACACACACACACACACATATATATACTGTATATATATACATATATACATAGTATATATAATAGATATTGAAATATATTAGACGTATATATATATATATATATATATATATAATATATATATATATATATATATATATATATATCATACAGAGAAGAGAAGAAGAGAGAGAGAGAGAGAGAGAGATGAGACGAGAGAGAGAAGAGAGAGAGAAGAGAGATGCTGAGGAGAGGGAGAGAAGAGAAGATGAGAGAGAGCTATAGATATAGAGTTACACACAAACACTCACACACAAGAAAGAGTATCTTGAAAAAAACTTCTGATGACTTTCATTAACCGTGATTTACAGACTAATTCACGCATTTCATATAGACGACAGTCATGGTTCTTAATGACGATCATATATTACGCCTAACACGAAAACATGGATTACGCAACGCATGTGATCACCATATGTAAATACAGTGCATCTATGAACTTTGGGCAGTTAAAAGGAAAACCGAAGGCACACGCACACAGGAACACGCACAGACACACACACGTACACACATCCGCGCGGTTATGAATATTTCTGACGATTGTTTTTCTATTCTCTACTTTTTAATGTGCTTATAGTCATCAAACCTTAACAAAAAATATCTACATCCATATTAAATTAAAAAAAAAATAAAATAAAACAGACATATATCACTACAAATACTTTCCTAACTCAGTATCATATAGCATAAAACAGCTCCTCTGGAATAGATGAAATAAATAGAAAAATCTTACATACAAATTATACAAAATGCAAACACACCCACAACAAATTTATAGCTATTCGACCCGTCAGTCTATCTCTATATTCATTCTTTATCGCTTGTTCCATCTTACGAGCGTACTACGGCAATACATCAAACAAGCGTCGCACCAGTGAGTTCTTCCTCCAATTTTGGTCTTACGCAATTAAGAACCAGCTGTTCTTTTCATGTCGACTGATTTTTTTCCCTTTTCCCTTTTTTTTAATGACCTTCGATGTTCTAAAAAAAAGAGAGAGAAATACTAATTCGTGCTGATGTAGGAATTTGTGAATTTCAAATGAGAAAAAAATGAAAATGGGTTTAAGAGGCATTCAGCGTGGGTGTGTGGCTATGGAATGGTGGTTGTGGTGATAATGGTAGGAATGGTGTGAGGTGCATGGAGGGTAAAGGTAGAAGGCAGAAAGGGAGGCAGGAAGGAAAGCGAATGAAACGGAGAAGAGATAAAGAAGACAGGAAGGGAATGAAACGGAGAGGAGGTAAGGAAGACAGGATGCGAAAAGGACAACGCTAAGGGTAATTATGACCATGGCGATTCTAATAACAATAACAACAAAAGTGTGACGAATACTACTACTACTACTACTACTGCTGATGCTGCTGTTGTTTCTACTATGAATACTTCTACTACTACTCATTTTGACGTTGATATGGGCGTGTTTCCTTAAGAGTAAGGCTGGGTAAATAAATTAGTAATTGCATGTAATGTACAGTAAGTGTCGGCGTGAGTGTCAGGCCACGTGTGTTGAGGCCATTATGTATGCATAAATACAGACATGTGCCCTATAAGAAAAAAAATAAAGAATACTTAC